GAAACGTATATGTTTTCTCGTATATTTCTAATGAAGCACCTCCTCTCTCGTTTGCAACTCTCCATACACGCATCACCTCCGAACTAATCATCGTAGCATATCTTCATCGTGCACGGGAACGGAAAGTATGCTCCCCTATCCTCTCTCATATACATACAAAGACCTCCAGGCTGAAGGACTTTCTTAAGCTCACCCTGAGGCCCGGGTGCTCTCCGCACGTTCTTCAACTTGAATACTGACCGGAACATCTCAGTAAGCCCTGCTTGGCCGGCGTCGCACCCAAGACTGACGTGCGGTCCAAGCCCGAAGTGAATGTAAGCATCCAGTGGACGACGCGGGTTCACTTTGTCGGGATCAGGGAAATGCTCAGCGTCCTTAGCCGCGCCGGTCTTCGCAAATTCAGGTCAGCTATGCCTTAATTCTTTGTCAAGTTGCTTGGGCATTCCACTTACAGAGCTAATAAAAATACGGTCACCAATACTAATTGATACCTCACGATTGCCATCCTCTGTGATCGTATCCCCGGCCGCTGCTTGACGATACGAGCCGAGTGCCCCCGAAAGCCTGATACCTTCCATGCAATATCCGAGCATCAACGCGTCAGTTTCGCCCGAAGACGGACTGTTCGCGATACTATGGATCTTAGGGATATACCCAGATCCTTCCGAGGACAAGTAGTAGTCTAGCGCTTGAGCGAACTGTATGAGCGTCAGTTACTATAATGGCAATCCTGGAGTCTTCGAGACGTACCACTTCTGAGATACTCGGCACAGATGCCGCTGCCGTAGGTAGAATCTGGGTCCATGTAATGTCGTAGTTATTCATACCAGCTTTGGACAAACCCTTAACCAAATTAGTGCCGTACGATGCCAATGGGTCATTCTTATTTGACCCAAAAAACAGCCCGCTAATTCCAAAGCCCGTCGCCGTCTTCACGTTAGCCTCGATCAATTTACCTAACTGGCCAGCAACAGCCTTTGTCGCCTGTCGCATTGGGAACGACTTCATGGGATCGATGTCAGAAAAGATACAGATAAAAACCACAGCGAGAGCCATGTATAGCTCCTGCTCGCTATAGATACCCTTCGGGTTCTCCTTTGTCTTGAGCGGCAGATTGAATACACGAGAAGTAAAGTGTACTGGTCCAAGATTTCCGACATCCCGGACAATATCGACAAAGTTCTGACCAGCCAGCTTGTAGGTCTTCTCTTTTATGAGTTGGTCCGTGATATGGGAGTAAAATGTCTTGACTTGGGAATGCCAGTCCCCTTTGTACAACTGATCGGGTGTAAGTTCACTCTGGCCGGTATGGGAAGGTAAGTTTCCCGAATGCAAGAAGCGTTTCCCACCATGGCCCATGAGATATGAGAGTCCTTCATTCCCTATGGTACTATACTTATCTTGATTATCGTGTATGTGTTGCGCCCCACTATAGGTCGTGATGTTAACAGGAGGTGGGATGAATGAGGGTCGGTCGTAGTTGAAGTGTTGGACTCGTCCTAAATTGGTCAAGATCATCTTGGTTTCACTTGGAACTGCACATATTAGTTAGCTTTCACGTTTATCAGTTATCATGTATCCAAACAGTGGTAAACATACCAACCATGGGGTAATGGGCGTAAACTGAATCTCCTCTGAAGTGGTTCGGGAAGGCTCGTGTGAACAGCTTATAAAATACACAGCCTTGGTTAATGTTCAGATCATACGCAACTTCATTGTATCCCCAAGATGTGAGACCACGCGGGTGGTAGTCAGTAGTGTAGAAGCGGTCTCCTCGAGTTAAGCAGACAGCATCAGAAAGAATGACACGAGAAATCGTGTAAGTAGGCTGAGCAATGTTAGTAGTCTCGTCATTGTATAACACGGATAGAAAACATACGGCAATTCCAACTCCAGGAACCATTGGCTCCTTTGCCTCCTCGGCAACGATCCCTGGGTAGAGCTCGACGAAATCAGGGTGCTCATATAAATGGCGGAGTGAATTAGCAATTTCAGGGTCGGAGTTGATGTCTTCAAACTTCTCATACGGCTTTAGTCCAAAGTGCTTGCGGAACTCGTTCAAGCCTGCAACATTCCACTTTCGGCCCTGAAGGATACCTAATATTTCGACGGGCTTCATTGATTCCGGTACGTTGCGGCCACCGAATGCTCCTGCACAGTCTTCGATAGCGTCGGAGATACACCCGACAAGGTCGTCGTCGCTGAATTTACCATCGGAATTTCGCTTGAAGCCCCCGAATACTCTCTCAGCGGGATCGTCTGGAATGCCGCTATCGAATTTGGCAAAGCCCATAACCAAGTCCTGGTGACTTAGTTCTAATGGATCCTTATGAAACAGGTCGCGGAAGAACCCCTGGAGCCATTGGTCGTCCTTGTCTGAGATACACGAGTGCCACCTACAGATTACCTATTAAGTGACTGTAACTCGAGATTTAACGGTATTTTTGTATTACTTACCTGTAGCAAAGATTAAACTCGGCTGAAACCACACTGCCAGTACCACGCTCAGACCCAGCGTTAGTGCCAACATCGTGGCCCATCTCTGCGCGGGGGTCGAGAGTCCATGTAGTGTTGCTCCGATTGAGATTGACAAGGTTTCTTACGTAGTCGATCAGCGTAATATTGATATACAATCCAGAGGTGACCAGTCGAGCCGTCTGGAAAAGATCATTGTCGTATTTCTTCCATGCAGCCGCAGCCTTCTCTTCGCTTAGTCCCGCGCGCGGAGGCGTAAAACGGCCACCCTCGTTAATCGCGGCTAGGTTTGCTGCGACGTGGTTATGGAAACGGTTGAACATGATTAGAATAACGCTAACCCCAGGTGGCGATCCAAGAAGCCGCTTGTCCGCGTAAGTGTCGGGCTTCATCATTCCATCCTTGAAGGTCCTTACGGAGTCCTGCATAGCTTGGTTGCTTCCGTAGAGAGGGGAAAGATCCAAGTATGAAGAGGTCTTGGTCTTGCTCATGTCGGTATGATCTGTCCAAAAGAGATCATGAATGATGATAGTTGCCCAATACCAAAGCACTGAAGAGACATTATTCGGGTGCTTGCGGTATTTAGTCCTCTTCATGACCGATTCGAAAATGAGACCCGGGTCGGGCATGGCTCCTAGGGGTACAATGCCTGGGCGACAACTCCTAGCATATGTTGATCCGGCCGCTCCAAGTTGAGGTTTCATTGGGTTGTTCCATGATCCGTCTGCCATCCTGTATTCGTGTTTCTCGCCCATATATAACAGAGGTGGGTGGTCTAACGTATCCCAAAGTTCGTTCAAGAAGGTGTTGGTGAGCTCCTCTCTAAGTCGTGAGCCATGGGGGAGTCCAGCGACAAGCTGGATGACGCGCTCCATTATCATCGTCTTATCGTCTACAAGCTGTTCTCCTTTAAGCTTGCTTCGGGCCAGGTCTAGGACTGTCTTCACATCTGTGATAGGTAGGTATTTAGTAGAATACAGCTTTCTAGTTGTTCGTGGCGACACACCTTTCAAGCGGAGATACTTCAAATCCTTCTTCAACCCTGTCCTTTGAACTGTCGTACTATAAGTACCATCACCATTTTGAACGGGAAGAGGTCGTCGTGAAGCGTTTAGCAATTGTCCAAATTGGGCAAAAACGGTTGAGACGCCTTCACTGTCGGCCTTTGGGAAACGCTCAGGCTTCTCCTTGGAAGGAAGTCCTGATGAGGGTTCTGAAGACTTGCCCATCGTGGTAGAGCTGTAGGAATCGACATGGTGAGGTCTGCTGCCGTCGGTTCTATGAACCCCGTTGCCTGTTATCGGGTCTCCCATTGCGGTTCGCTTGCAAGAGTCAACTTTCTGGAATAAGTGACAAGTATAGCTGATACAGTGTAGTAAACTATGAGTTCTAGGGACTACTTAACATACACCAGATTTGCTTCGGTAATAATACAAACCTCGGCTCGGCTAACCGCCTCCGTTAACTAATTCAACCAGAATAACATCCCGTGTTTAGATATATATCTAATATGCTCGGATCACCTAACTGGGGTCTTCCGTACATGTGCGACTATCTGGATCGGTACGGCCAGCTCTCCTCGGAACCAACGCAAGCCTTACATAGCATAGCCTATCCCGTTAAGAGAGTGACAACAGCCGGGACGCTATCAGTATTCATAGCCTATCCTGTTAAGAGAGTGACAACAGCCGGGACGCCATCAGTATGCATAGCGAGCTGGGAACCTATCAGATCGAAGTGAGTAACAATCATCTTATTAATTCACCGCCCTCACGACGCCTAGAAATAACGGTTGACGTAAATATTGACATTTGTCGTAGTGGCGTACACGCTACCACCCCTAAATAAACCGGATCATGACATATATTTAATATATCAATTCCGCGATCCTTACCACAAAGTTGCAAGTATCATGTCTTAGCACTACAATCAATTGTCTTCTCTTGATAAAAAAGCAAGCAACCCTAGGGAACCTATTCGCAGATCCAATCAGTACCTAAGGTAAAATGATGCGGTTAGCTACGTTTCGTTACACTTGGTAACCCTTCACGCAGAGCTGAACAAATGGAATGGGTATTGATCAACGTTTGTTATACCTAGTCTTACGCCAATATGATAGTATAGTCTAGTAGTTTCACTAATAGGTAATATATTGGGAGATGTAAGATGTGAGACCATATCTACTAAATAGCCAGTTAGACCTCGCCAGTTGATATTATATTGTAATCTTATGCAGTTCAATATGCAGTTGAGCTTAGCTATCTAACTAGAGAACTCATTGACTTTGTAAGTAATTCTCACCTTAACAAATTATCCTTCTCAACAAAAGTCAAGAACTATAGCTATTCAAATTGAATAGGTGGCTGTCAGCCAGCCACAACTTGCTTTCCGACCATTCGCAGACATGCTTTTCGACTATGATCGACCTGGTGATTTCAAGGAAGTATTTGCCCCAATAAGCTCGAACATGATTGACACTATGTCCTCGCCGAGACAGTCTTCCGACGATGCAATAGCACCGAACGCCTATTTGGCTTGGCGAAATTGTTTTGTACTTACAACGGTCTTCGGATAGTAGCACTAGATTCTCGCTGTATACATAACCTAGAGGCCCTTGGCGGGTTGCTCAACATCAAGCTATGCCGTGTAGCACTGTATAAAATCTACCCTTTTTCTAATGGACCAGTATCATTTAGCACCCCAAGTGCGTTATCGGGCAGGTCGCGAGGATTCAAAAGGGCATGTCACAACGTCCTCAAGTCTCGATGGAGATCTAGGTTACCATACTCCTGCATGGACAACGATGGACGCAGCAAAAGATACCCGTACTCCCCAAAAGCTTGTGCTGTGTTTCGATGGCACGGGCAATAGATTCAGAGGTGACGATAGCGACAGTAACATCTTGAAGATATTCAGATGTCTGGATCGGGAATCAGGTGGTCAATGTATATATCTTGGATCCATTCTGTAAAACATGCAGAATTTCATACCACCTCGCTAACTGTTGGATTAGATCACTACTACCAACCGGGGATAGGGACGTATGTCGTGTCTAACTCGCTGTCCCACACAAGTCTAAGTGCTAGAATCCGATCGTGGTACTTGAAGGCTAAAGACTCTGCCGTCGGCTCGAGCTTCGACCACCATGTAGTGGGCGGATATCGATTCCTCATGCGTTTCTATGAGCCAGGCGATGAGATCTACTTTTTCGGCTTCTCCCGGGGGGCCTATGTAGCCCGCTTCCTAGCGGAGATGCTTGACTACATCGGTTTACTCTCGCATGGAAATGAAGAGATGGTTACCTTTGCCTGGAAAGCATTTTCTCAGTGGCAGAGTCGCCAGTCTGACCAGACCGAAGAACATCAGGCGAAACGACAGGAGATGTATCGCTTCATGAAAGGATTTCGAGAGACATTCAGCCGTCCTGTGAAGAGAATCCGATTTTTGGGTCTATTCGATACTGTCAACTCCGTCCCTCGATTCGAGGCTGCGTGGATGCAAAGGTCGAAAATACCATATACTGCGAGAAGCAGTGCCAAGGTAGGTTAAATTGCCTACCTATATAGCAACTATTATTGTTCGCTTGACTCACTGCTACTCATAGGTCATTCGACATTGTGTATCCATAGACGAACGTCGCGCAAAGTTCAGACAGGACCTTATTTACCAAGGGGTTAGTAAGGATCATAAAACACACCGGCACTTGCACGAAGTTATGCACGAGAAGTATCGCACAAGGCAAGGTGCAGTCTCGGGGTTGGCACCGAGTAACAAGCCAGAGAGAGGGCGATGCGAGACCTTAGCCCCCCCTAATGAACATACGTTCCGGCCCCATTCCCGTTCCCGATCCCGGGCAACGAGAAGCTCTGTTGACAGAACGAGCCAAGTCGGTGATGATAAGCCGGGAATTGCTCATATGACAGACATTGACAAGGATTCGGATGATGATGATGAACAAGACATCGACGAGATCTGGTGAGTTCCATGATACCAAATAACCCAAAAAGATAATAGCAGCTAAAGTCAAGATAGGTTTGCCGGCGGCCACGGCGACGTTGGAGGTGGATGGGAGATCATGCCAGACACCAAATCTGCGAGCCACATACCCCTTACCTACATGATCAGAGAAGCGCAACGAGCAGGTCTCAATTTTGATCCCGAGAAGCTAGTTGAGATGGGCGTCACCGAACCTTCTGATGAGTCTAACACTAACGCCCACCACGACGGGGCTGTTCCTGACATTCGCGTTGAGAAGTCAAGCCCAACAAGCCAAACTTCACCCTGCCTTGATATCCAGCCTACGCATCGGGATCACTTCAATTTTACAGGCGACGAAGAAAAGAAAGAGCAAAGCGAACAGAACGTGCGGTCATTCCATCGGATGCTTCACAAAGCCCATTTGGCCAGAATCCACGACTCTCTGCAGTTTGCATCTGGCTTGACTAAAGGTCAGGTGATAACCTGGAATATAAGTATGCCACCTCCCTACTACCCCTTACTCGTTCGCCGCTCTCGTGTACCTAGACCTATGCGATGCCCTATATAGAGGGCCATTAGAAGATAACCGCTAACATTGGTGCTCTAGTGGAGTATATGCCATTCCGGCGAATGGATCTCCAAGCAGACGGATCGTGGAAGCCAATCCGTTGGCCACTTCCATGCGGTGAAGTGCGAGATATTCCCCATACAGCCAGAATACATGGTTCGGTAATCCGTCGCATGAAACAAGATAACGCCTACCGCCCCGGGAATCTCATTATTGGTGGCGGCGGACGCGGAAAGCGCATAGCCCCCGAGTCCTATGGTATTGGTAAATGGAAATGCGTCCAAGATCACGAAGATCCCGTAGGCGAGGTTTGGGTCAGAGATACAACTGCCAACGCCGAGTCATGAAGTGAATATCTATGAGTTGATAGTAGAGAAATTGAATATTGCATAGACCCCTTTCCATGTAATACTCGTCACTAAACCGGACATTAACTTATACCTCCTCTCTTGGTTTCAATTACGATCCCAATTGACTCGTCCACCTCCCCAAATCATTTCACTCAATACGAGAAAACTGATCCATGCTAGAAGTTAACCGACTTATTAATCCGCTCTACTATGATTCGTAAGATTTACCCAGACCACCCAGCCAAGTCGTCCAGTCCTATCCAGCATCGCGCATGTATCAGCGTTACGCTGTAGGATTCCATGCTACCCCATATAGCTTTGGCCGTGAGGACATATCGAGTTAGAATCTGCGAATCCAGCAAGGGTGCCAAATGACATGGCATGTCTATTAACTGTCTAGGAATGATGGCCGGTGGTTGAATTATTCGTATTGGCTTGCTTGTTATACATGTAGACTAAATAGGCTCATGATCGCTTCATTACCACCAGTGACATGAATGGAATGTAGTATAATGGCATGGTACGGGATCCATGTTCCATATTTAGCACTATATCCGCAAGTTGCTTCAACTTTATTCAAAGAATCCATCCTCTAAGGGACTGTACCTAGTTAGTGATTTAGGTAGGTATACAGCGCAAGTTGACCAAGTAAAGTCTCAACCTAGAGTATGTGAGGTAGGTAACTAATAAAAAAGGCCCTTAATAATCTCGGAGAGGACTTCAAAGAAGATAGAGAAAATTTCTGAATATTGATTTTCTTTTTAAGTAGTACTGACTTCACACACAATATTCTTACCATGATATAACTCGACAAACTTGATTTGACTTGACCTATTGGCGACGAAGATTCCGACCTCATCAACTGACTATCCCCCCCTTTTTTTTTTGACGGTGATCTCCTCCATTGCAATCCTGTTAAACATTAGTTCAAACATAGGATGCTTTTTTTTTGCCCTCTTCTTTTCCTCGTGCTATTGTCAAGTTGGTCACGTCCCCACTTACTCACTCCACGTCCGCCCTTTGCTTTGATATTCTCCCCTGAGAGACCTTATTCTCTAAGATCTCTCTTTATAGAGGTAAGCCTTACTCAACATAGCCTGCATCCAACCAAGTCTGCTGCAGCCAAGTACCTTGCGAGTTTCGAGTTTCGTGTCGTTCGCTCGTGGTTTTGTCCTCCCCAATCACGTACTCAAAAGAACTGCTTGCGACGATGCACAGATTCCAGCCCGCCCCATTTTTTCTCGTCAAAATGCCACTCCTCCCTCACTCTCCTCGATCTTGCTAGTCATAATACAGGAGGGCGAAAATGGGGTATCTGAAGAATAATTTGATCCGATCGATCAAAATGGTCTGTACGTGGACCCAATCCGTCAAGGAATATTAACCGCCCGCATTAATATCGCGCGTAATGGTGAGGTCTAACCGTATCGTATCATGTACGCCATGAGTCATGCCGGAAAAGAACACAAGGGGATAGAAAGACGAAAAAACAGGAGTTTGAAATCGGGAGAAGAGGTAACTCCCCAGGCCGATTTCAAAGAAGCTCGTGAGAAATCTAGTATAACTCACGCTTTTGAAACAGTAGGAGCTTGTGATGGCCGAACACCCAGACACCGATAAATAGGTGAAGCGATGAAAGGTTTTGAAGGGATAGATGGCAGTAGAAATGGTAGGTGTAGTAAATCAGGCAAGACATAAATGCTCGTTATGCTTAAATTTTAATAATTCAAGATGCAAATGCAAGGAAAATATGATTATCCAAAGTTTTGTAAGGCCTCCTTCAGGGAGATTTTGTCTAGGTAACTCGATTCTCGCGGACTGAATTTATCCTGTTGAGATGGCTAGCGTAACGGTCAAAGCAATCAAATTCGTTCGGGAGTGCTGTCGAAATAGCGACCCGGTCGACAGATGCTAGCCGCCAAACTAAGCTAGATCGAATACCGCATGAGTTGTGATATTCTTACGCTACCGGGGGGATAGCCGGAGCAGCGGGGATCTCAACCTCAGCCGGGACTTCGCCGTTAGTGTTCTTTTGAGGGCAGTCGCGGGAAATGTGGCCAGCTTCGCCGCACTGGTAGCACGTCTTGCCAGCAGTGTTTAGAGGGCCACCATTGGGTGCTGTGCAGTCTCTGGAGATGTGACCGAGCTTCCCACAAGCATAACACTTCATAGCCTGAGCTTGACAGTCGCGCGCGAAGTGGTTCGGCCCGCCACATTTATAGCAGGTGGCCGGTCGGGGTCCACCGGCGAAACCGCCCCGGCTAAAACCACCGTAGCCACCACGGCCGACCGGGGCACCACGTCCGATTCCAACACCAGCAGGGTTAGGGCAAGCTCGGGCTAGATGGCCTGGCTGACCGCAGTTATAACAGCGGCCATTACCACCAGCACCGCTCAAGCGCAGAGTAGGGCAGTCGGCCTGGACGTGTCCGAGCCCTTGGCAGTGGTAGCACTGCTTCGCCTCGGTGGTACGGGGGAGAGGGCACTGGTTAGACTCGTGTCCTAGGCAAAAGCTATTAGCTAAAAAAGGAAACTCTCTAGCAAAAATTCATAAGGGGGTGGAGGCTTACCTGGCTGCTTGCAATTGTAGCAAAGGCGCTCAGCGGAGGAGCAAACCTCAGCATAATGGCCAACATTGCCACACTTGTAGCATGCTCGACGAGATAGAGAAGACATTGTAACTAGTCTGTGAGTCTGTGTAGTTCCATTATCAGCACGACACTTCACATAAACTTTATCTTTCGCTGTCCACTCTTGAATGACCCGTTTGCAACGATGTGGTAGTGGTATGTTAGTATTCTTGTTCGACGGTAGCCCATCTTCGATCAAAATAGAAGTGGGCATCTCGTCAGAAATGCGAATCCAAATTTGTCCAGGTCACAGTTTTCCCATGGGGAACAGGGGCGATTCGTAGATATTGCCACCAGGATATTCGTCCACTAATATTAGAAGTAGACATTAATCAATTTGGATGCAACCCAAAATGATAATAAGGTACCGCCACGTGCAATTTCTCATCGGATAAAATACCCCACGAGGAATGGTGTGGTTTCGCAAACTAAACGGATGGGCGCCAGGCATAGTTGAGTGGTTTTCCAGAATCTGCAGGTCGACTGGTTTGGTTACAGACGTTTTGGGTTTGTGCTACCCGACACAAAATGCGAGATAGACAACCAAACCTGCCCGATCGATATGAGATTCTAGTCGAATTGTGCGTTTTATCGACTAGTTTCGAAGCCAGTCTCCCTTAGCTTGCGCGTCTCGATATTGGATCGTACGGATGGCAACACTTCAAATCTACAAGAGGCGATATTCTCGTTACTATACTGGATAGCATCCGGTCGGAGGCGAATTGTCTTGGAATGTTGGCTGTCGGGAGGTAGTAAAAAGGATCGGGTTGACGGATGGTCGGTTATGCGCGAACTAATCGAACCGCTCGCGCCGAGATGATCAGGCCAGTAATGATAGAATCACGTTGTCGCTAGAGACTACAGCCCACATATTCGGAAACTACTCGACACTTTCTGCGGAAGGCCGGGAGACAAAGATGTTTCTGAATTGTTTTGGAGTCGGCGCATTAAGAAGTAGTCGCGAAGTCCACGAGTCGATGAGTCGCAAGATAGGCGCGCATAAGAGAAAATAGATATCTGCGGGGTCCTTGTCGCGGCGCATAGTTAAGGTTGTCAAAGTCGCGCGCGCAATCAAATCGCATAAATGATGATCGCTATTATTGTCGCCGCCATCGCCGTTATCGTAGGATGCTGTGTAAGAATCGCTTGTCGCACAACATGAAGAAGAAAAATAGACAGGTCGGTTTCTGGACCTAGCTAGACCTGTCGCTGTACCACACACACACACACCATTTGCGCGCGCCGGGCCATTTCTTGCAGAATGCAAAAATGATACGTAGATCAAAACGATAAAAAAAGATTTGAACTCACATTTCCCTTAAGAACCTTATCGACTTCCTGCTTATTCCTTCTCAACTCTTCCTTCTCAACTCTACTTCTTCAACTTATACTGCTGCTATCCGTTCAACCAACAGCAACCTTCTCCAAACACTGCGCGACCTCCAAGGGGGGAGTTGATAATAGTATGCGATTACGATACGATGCGATGAAGATGTAATATTTAGGATCACGGGCAAAGAAAAGGAAGGGTTAAGAAAAAGAGAGAGGGACGAGGGAAAGGGCAAAGAGGGCACAGAGTGAGGGGGACAGGTTCCAGAGCATGTGGAACCCCGGCGCGGGCGAAGGGGCTACTCCTCTACAAGATAGGTACCGGATACAACCGCTTCGTAATAGCTGATGCGCTATCTAAACCGGCTACTGACGTAGTAGATACCTGGTAGATACCTCCTAGTAGTTACCTATAAGTCCCTAGTGAAGCAGACCCTTCCCTGCATACAACATGTACAACATGTACGTGCCTACCTTAGTAGGGTTAAATTACCTATTAGCGGATGGATCGCCAAATTCTAGTGGAAGTTCAGGTGGCTACTTCGGTTTTTTTCCATATCCCTTCTGTTCTACACTTCCTTGTTTTGTTTAATTATTGCTTACATTTTCTTTTCTCTTCCTGGTATGTGCGTACTATTTAATCTATTTAATACCCCATGTTATTGCCGATAGGCTTTTATATGTATGTATTAGGTAGTCTTCCTTGCGTTTGTGCTACATCATTTTTGTGTTACCATGTTATACTCCTCCTCGCCCATATACTTAGCCCGCATCGTCGACTTCGCTATGTACGTTAGAAGAGACTTGGACAAATTGGAAAAAAGCACTTAACCTAGTATATTCACTATTTTCCACTTTGGAGTTTGATTCGCCGACTTACCAACCAATTATAATACTATCTAACCTCCCCCCCCTTTATTGTACTATTGTAGTGTCTTACGGTTTGCTGCCCTGCATAACTACCGCAAAAAATTTCACATCTACTAATAGTACCTAGGTACTATCTAGGTAGGGAGACATGGATCTAATGTGATCCAAAGTCTCACTAGTATACTTTCGTAGGCTTTAGCGAGCTACTATCAGATGCCAACTATCCCGATTCTTTTCCTGTTGGTTCGTTTTCATCTCTTATATCCCTCAAAGTTGTTTATACCATGTACTATGGTACCTCACCTTTAATTTCACGTGTTTGTATACATATCTTGCCAAGTTGCCATA